CCCCAGCAGCCGTCGCCGCCGCCACAGCAGCCGCCGCCGCCACCGCCGCAGCCGCCGCAGCAGCACCAGCCGCCGCCCCAGGCCCCCCCCATGGAGCCCGAGGCCCCGGATTCCCGCAAGAGGCCCCTCGAAACGCCCCCCGAGGTGGTCTGCACCAAGCGCAGCAACACGGGAGGTGAGGAAGGGCGGCGGGACGGCGTGGGGTGTGGGGGAGCAGCGCGCGCGGAGGGAGATCGCCTTTCTCCATCCTCCCTCCCCCCCTCGGCTGGCAGGTGCAAGCGCTCTGGAGAGGGGAGGGGCGCCCCTCTGCGAGGAGCTTGGGACCTGGACGGACCCCTTTCTCTTGTCGCCAAGGCCCGGGGGGCTGAGAGCTTTGTCTGCGCCGAGAGGGGCTGGGGGGGAGGGGGTGGTAAGTGTCCTTGTGGTATTGGGGGGGCGCGAAGGATGAGGGGCGTGGGCCCCTTCTGGGCCAGTGTGTCCTTGAAGGGTGTGTGATGTGACCCTTTGGGGCAGAGGTGTTCCCCAGGCTTGCTTCTCCCTGTGGGGGGAGGGGAAGGAGTAGAGAGAAGGGCCTGTGGATGGGAGCTTCTCAGCCTCCTTCCCTGGGGATGTCCTGAGCAAGGGTCCCTGAGAGAGGTGGGTGTGGACAGTGCACGGGATTGCCCGTGGGGACAGGCTGGGTGGGTGTGTTGGATGACATGAAAAAGAGTGGGTGTGTAAAACTGGGTGAGGGGAGGGGAGGCTAGGACAGGTATGTATATCTGTGGTGGGCCCTGTAAGGCCTGGTTTTGTGACATTAAGGGACCATGGATATGACAGAGTGTGAGTGTATGTGTAAAAGACTGGACTGATTCAGAGGGGGTTCAGCTCCATGTTGGAGACCTCCATGGTGGGTGTGTGACAAGGGTGTATGCTTGTCACTCTCAAAGGGGATGTGGCAGTGTGACACATGAGTGAGAAGGGGTGTGTGACATGCAAGGGGGTGTGTGGGGGAGGCCAAAGGGGCTGGCCCTGGGTGTGAACTGTGAGAATGTGTGGATGGGGAAAGGGGTTCCATGCATGTAGGATACAGGCATGTATAGGATGGAGAAGGACCAGGAGAAGGTGGTTACTGGCATGTAACAACGAAAAGGGTGTGGGTGTGCCACGTGGAGGTGTGCAGTGGTGACATCAGAGGGGGTGTGTAACGGGAGGAGGTGGAGGTATGGCAAGGGAGAGGTGAGCTTGTCAGTGAAATTCATGAAGGTGTATTAAAGACAAAGATGGAGCCCCGTCCCAAGTGACAGGGTACATGTGCTACTACGACACCATGGATCGAGATGTGTGACACTCAAACGTGTGTGAATGTGTAGGGAGGGGAGGTGTGTATGTGGAATAGCTGGATGTGTCACACCAGAGATGTAGGAGGGATGCATGGTGTGACAGCGGAGGCCATACGTGTGTATGTGTAAGTCAGCTCAGGGTTAGACACCTCAGAGATGTATAGGCTACACAGGAGGGACCGTTTCTGTCTGTGACCCCAGAGAAGCCAGGCCAACCTGGGAACTCTAGGTGTCCCCCTTGATGTTGGGGGATGCAGGGGATAGACAGGGCTTGGGAGGGTGGGCTCTGGCTCCATGGAAAGAGGGAGACCCCAGAATAGACAAACTCCTCTCCATGGTCACGGTGGCCCAGATCCTGCCTTCCTCTGGCCTTGAACAGAGAGAGTGTATACCCTTCATGCATCCTAGCTCGGAGGGGGTTGGGTGCTGGCTTCCCACCACCTCCCCTGGGTACACACAAGCCCCCCCCCCAGCTTTTAATCCCTCTCACCTCCAACCAGGTGGGACAGGGTTCAAGGTCCCCTGGATGCCTGTGAAGGGTGTTCAGCAGAAATTGGAGGAAAGGGAAGTTGGGGGAGGGGTGGGAGAGAATTTCCTGTCCGTCTTCCTGCACCCCCACCCTCCAGCACACACATGAAAATGTCCACGGCCCACTTCCTTCCATGCTTCCTGTTCAGCCATTGCCAGTCCTGGCAGGGATTCGGGACCGAGGAGGTCCCCAAACCCAGCCTGGCTGACAGCTCTCCTCCTCAGGATGGGGGAAGGAGGGTCCCACCCTTGTCTTAAAGGGACTGAGATTGCTCTAGATTTGGCTAGGCAGCACATCACAGTGAGTGGCTGCTAACTGTTTTCTCCAGTAGTGGCACTTAGTATAGCAGGCTCCCAAAACATGGGTGAATTTCTCAGTGCAACCTTCTGGAGAGATGCTTTGAGGTGCGTTTTTACCGATGAGGGAAACTGAGGCTCAGTAATATGAAAAGGCTTGTCCGAGGTCACAGGATTTCTAAGTGGTATGGCCAGAATTTCTCAGACTGAACTGATTGATTCTGGGTCCCAGGGACTTAACCTATGGGTTATCGCACTTTCTCCTACAGTGGCAATACTATGTGCAGTCTTTAGGGATATCTCCGGTACTCCTGTACCCCTTCCTCACCTCCAGGGTACACTTAGGGAAACTGAAGCCAGGATATTCAAAGAGGAAGTCCTTTATTGATAGAAATACTCGAGGGCAGACGGCAAGTGTCTGTAACTTTGAACCCAAATTGATGGCACCCTGTAGTGAAGGACCGTGGTGGATGTGGGATGCTTGGTCATTCCTTCTGTATTCTGTGTTTATGTGTCTGCAGCTTTCAAATGTAGACATGACAATAAATACAGTGATAATGTCAGGGTGGTTAGCAATATTATTGTTTAATATCGATGTATCATTCTGTATCATTCTTATAACATTCTATGCTGTAATAATACTAGTAAATTATAATAATGGCTAACATTTATGGTGCCAGGACACGACTGTTAGACATGGATCATTTAATCCTTACAATTCCGTTACTCATCTTTCAAAGGGAAGGTTAAGTAACTCATCCGAGGTCACTCAGCTAAGAAGAAACAGAGCTGTGATTTGAACTCAGAGACTGGCTGTATTTTGTAGATGGATTCTATGATAATGGGCTGTTTAGAGAATAACATCGAGGTTCAGAGGGGTGAGGGGCTCTTCTAAGCTGTCACAAGTGGTAGCAGGCTGGACAGACCTGGCAAGAGGCCCCTAGGAGGAAAAGGAGACACTAAGGACAGGAAGACTCTAGTGAAGACATTAGAGCTTAAGAAAGCCAGCTTAGGGAGTTATTTGGTGAAAGAAAAAGCCTGTCCCGAATTGCAGCTAGAGGAGGATGAGACAGGATGATCGAAGTTCAAGGCCAGCCTGGGCAACTGAGCCATACCCTGTCATAAAATAAAGTTTTAAAAAAACAAACAAAAACAAAAAACAGGGTGGAGATGTAGCTCAGCTGTGGAACTGGAGTGCTTGTCCCGACTCCACCAGTGATTGGCTGAGGTCATGGTTCAGTGGTAGAGCACCTGCCTAGAATCTCCCAGTGAGGGGTTGGGGTGTGACTCAGTGGTAGAGCCCCTGCCTAGAATCCCCCAGTGAGGAGCTGGGGGGTGTGGCTCAGTGGTAGAGCACCTGCCTAGAATCTCCCAGTGAGGGGCTGGAGTGTGGCTCAGTGGTTGACCCCCGGCCTAGAAGCCCCCAGTGAGGGGCGGGAGTGTGGCTCAGTGGTTGACCCCCGGCCTAGAAGCCCCCAGTGAGGGGCGGGAGTGTGGCTCAGTGGTTGACCCCCGGCCTAGAAGCCCCCAGTGAGGGGCGGGAGTGTGGCTCAGTGGTTGACCCCCGGCCTAGAAGCCCCCAGTGAGGGGCTGGAGGGTGGCTCAGTGGTAGAGGACCTGCCTAGAATCCCCCAGTGAGGGGCTGGGGTGTGGCTCAGCGGTAGAGTGCTTGCCCAGCATGTGCAAGGCCTTGGGTTCTACCCCTAGCACCAAAAGGAGTGGGGCTTAAGAGAATCCCCTAGAAGTAGCCCCTAGAGATGGTAAAGGCATTTGGTCCCCCCATCCTGGGGATCTACATTTGATCCCTGGAGCCCAACTCTAGGAGATCCTGGAGAAGGAGAGAAGCAACTCCACAAACCTGTCCTCTGACTGCCACACATGCTCCATGCCACATGCACCACCCCTCCCACATTATGCACACACAATAATTAATAATAATAATAAATAAAAATTTTAAAACAAAGAATGTGCCCATAATCTTAACTGTATCTTCACCTCTCCTGTCCCCCCAAAATACAGAAAGAGCACAGAAAAGCATCCCATCATCTGCAGACATACACATATCTATTTCACACCCCAAGGAGCTCACAGCACCCAGAACTCACTCCCAGCATCCCTCACACATACCACAAAAATAATGTCACTGGCACAAGAGCCCTGGAAGGAAACCCTACAAGGTCTAAAGGTTATTGCTGTCATATGTTTGCTGTGGGACCTGCAGGCAAGTGTTTTCAATACTCTGAGCCTCAGTTCTCTCTGTCTGGAAAATGGGAACAGTCTTACTCTCTAGATAGCTGTCATGGTATTCATTGATATTTCCTATGTGAGATTCGGATACAGTGGTTCATGTCTGTACTGTCACCTGGCATCTCTGTGGGATCTGGGGATCCAAATTCCAGTCCTCTTATAAAGTGCTTGAACCTCTTGAGTGGTCTCCCTAGCCCATCATTACCAGTAACTGCCCCACAAAGAATCTGGAAGAAATCCAAGAGATCCACCTGCTTCTGCCTCTCGGGGGTGCAGGTTAGATTAAAGGCGTGTGCCACCATGCCTGGCTCAAAGAATGGTTCTCTTTTACAGATTCATTTTATTATTTTTAATTATGTGTATTCAGGCGAGGGACTGACGTGAACATGTGAGTGCAGGTACCTGTGGACATCAGAGGTGTCAGAGCCCCTTAAGCTGGAGTTACAGGTGGTTGTGAACTGCCCCATGTGGGTGCTGGGAACCAATCTCAGGTCCTCTGCAAAAGCAGGATATGCTCTTAACTGTTGAACCATCTCTCCAGTCCCCCAAAAATCCTTATTTGTAATTTAAGAGAGAATTGCCTTAAGGGGACTCTACTTTCGCTTTTTTTGTTTGTGCGTTTTGCTTTGTTTAGAATTTTATTATATTTATTTACTCATTTGTTTGGATGTGTTTGGGCACATGTGTGCCATAACATACGTACAGGTCGGAAGATAACTTGCAGGAGGTAGTTCTCTCCTTCCACAGTGTGGGTTCCAAGGGTGGACTCAGGTTATCAGGC